TGTCCTGTTCCATTCCAAGGTATTTTCTCTAGATTTTTCTAGCAGTCATTGTAGAAGGAGAATAATTAACCCAGGAGTGTAGTCTACTTGTGATATTGTGTGTGTGTGTGTGTGTGTGTGTGTGTGTGTGTGTGTTTCCATGTGTGTGTCTTTGTATGTAGAGTGGGAGGTGTCACTGTAGAACATGCTACCTTACACTCACAGAGGTCTATTTGCCTTTGTTTCTCAAGAGCTAGGGTTAAAGACAGGCATTATATTCATTTAATAGGGAAGAATTCCACTTTGTATCATGTAACATCATAGGTGGGTACACTGTTTTCAAGTGGGTCATTGCATTCCTAGGACATTCCTCAAGATTATCAGAGATAGTTGTCATTTGTGCTTCTTCCTATAATTTTGCCATTTTTGTCTCCCCAGATTTTCTTGGCAAAGCAATGGCTGTGGCAAATGGCTCAATAGTGATGGAATTCATACTCTTGGGGATAACAGGAGAGCCTGACCTCCAAGTACCCCTCTTCTTACTCTTTCTAGTAATATATCTGGTAACCACATTAGGAAATTTGACCTTGATCATTCTAATGGTGCTGAACTCTCACCTTCACACCCCCATGTACTTTTTCCTCTTTAACTTGTCCCTCATAGACCTCTGCTATTCTTCAGTGATTATACCCAAAATGTTGATGAACTTCTTAGTAAAGAAGAATGTTATCTCTTACGCGGGGTGCCTGACTCAGCTCTACATTTTTTGCTTGTTTGGCATTTCTGAATGTTACGTGCTGACAGCAATGGCCTATGATCGCTACGTGGCTATCTGCAATCCACTCTTGTATAACATTGCTATGTCCCTTAAGGTGTGCTTCTATCTTATGCTTGGATCATATTTTATGGGATTTTCTGGAGCCACGATCCACACTGGTTTCATGCTTCGACTGACCTTCTGTGATGGGAACACCATCAACCATTACTTCTGTGACATCCGCCCTTTACTGCAGCTCTCCTGTACCAGCACTTACATCAATGAGATGGAGCTGCTCATTGTAGCAGGAAAAGACATCATTGTGCCCACAGTCATCATCTTTACATCTTATGGCTTCATCCTTTCCAGCATTCTCAAAATAAATTCAACTGAAGGCAGGTCCAAAGCCTTCAGCACTTGTAGCTCCCACATAATTGCTGTTACTCTGTTCTTTGGATCATGTGCATTTATGTATCTAAAACCCTCCTCAGCTGGGTCTATGGATCAGGGAAAAATATCTTCTGTCTTTTATAACATTGTGGTCCCCATGATGAACCCATTAATCTACAGCCTTAGGAACAAAGATGTTAAAATTGCTCTGAAAAAAACTCTAACCAAAAGAAA